AGGGCAGAGCCCCCAGCCTGGCCAGGCCCCTTCCCGGCCCGGCCCCTGCCCCAGGCGGACCCCGCTCGGAGGGAAGGTGAGAGAGACCCGCCCCCCCCCGTCACCCCCGGGCTGCAGGGGGAGGTTTGTCCGCAGGCTGCTCCCAGCGGAGCTGGCTGCGATTCCCGCCCTGGGCCCGGGTGTGGGGGGGGGGAAGCCGGGAGGGGGCTGGAGAGGGGCAGGAGGGGTGTGAGTAAGGGAGGTTGTGGGGGGAGAACAGGGATGACTGAGAAGAACGTAAGAAAGGGGGATGGAGGGGGCAGGACGGGATGGGATGGGGGGCAGGGGGTGCGCTGCATGGAGCATGAGGCGATGCAGGGGAGCCAGGGGAACAAGGCTGGACTAGAGGGAAACTCTGAGTGTTGGGATATTGCAAAGGAAAGGGGGAGATGTGGGGAGAAAGGGGGATGGGGAGGATGGGCAGCAAATGTGAGAGGAAGAGGAGACTGGCTGGGGAAGGGAGAACCGGAGGGCAGCGAGAAGGGTGGGGAGAGATACAGTGGCGGCTCCCCCATCATCCTATGGATTTAGAGCTTAGCGAGTGTCAAACCCGATTCACTGTTCGCAAGCATGAGGTGTGAGTCCTGATGGGCAGATGAGATCAGCACCTGTCTGCCTGTCCCTGGGGGCTCCAGGGCCAGCACTGGGAGGCTCAGTCAGGCATTAGCCGCTGTCACCAGAGGGCTCTGGTTATTGCTAAGGGAGAGGAGGAGGCGGTGGGTGTGTCTCTCTCTCTCTGCTCCTGATATTAGAGGCTTGGAGTTGAGCTTCCTGGGTCAAACGCTGCTGCCTCCTGCATTTTGATGTGGGAGCGCAGAGTGAGCAGTTGCTGCTCCCAAGCGGGGTCTGTGCTGGGAAGAGACCTGCATTAACCCTCTGTCTGTGCCCAGCCTGTGAAACCAGCCCCTGGGGCAGCCCTGGGCTCTGCTCACACCAGCCCCTGAGCTGCAGGTGAGGAGAGACTCGGGGGAAAGGGCTGGGGCCGGGCAGGACAGTGACTCTGCACAAAGGGCCCCTTTCAGGGACAGCTGGTGAGTTTGTAGTAGAGGGAGAGCGAGTGTCTGCAGGTCCCAGAGCTGCTGCCCTCGGTGACACCCCCAAGCTCACACTCCTGCTAGCAGAGGAGGTAGCTGATCTCTCTACTGGAGAGCAGATGTAAATGGGGCAGTCACCAGTTCTCCTAGACAGAGTAGAGGGGACAGAAGGGGGGAGTGGAGAGATGGAAAGGAGCAGCAGGAGTAGTGAGGAGAGAGGCTCTCAGCTCCCAGCCTGCCCACTGCATCATCACCCTGGGCAGACTGACTTTCCTGGGAGCAAAGTGAGATGCTGACAGAGGACAAGCCAGGTCCTGTCTCTGCCAGGTCCCTGTGCTGCTGGGGGGATGCACCGCCCTTGAGGACAATGTCAGGCTCCTTTGATTCTGCTTTCCCTAGTGTTCATCTCAGAGACTCTTGTGCCAGACATGACAACAACCTGGGCAAACCTTATGGAATTAAATGAATCTGTATTGATTGAAGTGTAAGTATTGGGGGAGTCCATTGTATCAAAAATGCAACTGTTAGTGTGCTGTTGCGGGATTGTGTGGGAGTTCTCTGGGTGGAAGATGGGACTGATGCAATCTCTGGGAGATATTAGGGATTTCAGAGGTCTTTGGGAACAATATTAGTGCGATGGATTTCCTAGGGAATACTTGGGGGTGAGGGAAATGCACTTTGAGCAGAGACCCGCTGGCTGATTGCCTGCTCAGGGTCTCTTCAAAGAGCCAGACAGGACGAATGAGTGACTCTTGCCTACACTAGCACTTAATGCCAGCAAAACTTACGTTGCCCCAGGGATGTGAAA